TGGTTCCACCATATTATCCTTTGTATTCGGATGGCCAACAAGTTGTCTATTGGACATAATTGTCCACATTGATGTCTTCGGGTCAAACTGGTCCGTTTAGTGATATATGTACAGTATTTTCTATTATGTATAGGAGAAACGGTATTTCGGTAATTTTGACCAGAAGATGATCATCGATTGGAATGAATTTTCAATATGTGGTAGTAAATAGGTTTGCGATACTAATTAGATATGTCCCGACATTGTGGCCACTACCTGGGCCGCAAAGGCCATCATCTAGTGATTCATTGATTTTCCCGCCAAAACAACAATTTTTGACGGCCCATTATATTTCGGGTGGCGGACATCGGACAACATCCGTACCACCATATTATGGACACTATTCGGATGGCCAAGGTGCTATATGAAGACATAATTGGCCACATGGATGTCTTCTGGTCAAAAGTGCCCGTCCCGTGATTACAACAGTGTACTGTATAGTACAGTACAGTAATGTATGGGGAAATCGGTATTTCGGTAATTTTGACCAGAAGATGATCATCGATTGGGATCAATTTTCAATATGAGGTTGCAAATAGGTGTGCGGTACTAACTAGATATGTCTCGACATTGTGGCCGCTACTTTGGCCGTAAAGGCCAATCAACTACTAGTTACATAGCGATTGCCTCCGCCGAAAACAAAAATTGCCGATAACTCGGTACAGGTTAACCGCCCGAAGTCAAGATTGGAAGTGAATGATTGGCTATTGGTTAGCCACCTAATCAGCCACTCAAAACACTTGGCCAGCCATCGGTTCGGCGGGACCAACATTTTGGGCAAGTCGGTATAACTCGGGTTGCGGACATCGGACAACATCCGTACCAACATATTATGGACAGTAATTGGATGGCCAACAAGTTGTCTGTTGGACATTATTGTCTATATTGTTGTTTTCGGGTCAATATGGCCCGTCCCGTGATTACAACAATGCATTGTATTGTATGTGTTATTAATGTATGGGAAATATAGGTTTTTCGGGGATTTGAACCCGAAGATGGTCACCGATCGGGACCAAACTTCGGGAGAAGATAGCATATAGGTATGCGGTACTGACTAGATAGGTCATAACATTGTGGCCACTACTTACCGATTTACCGTTACTTACTCTCATTTACATGTATGCTATACTGGTGTTACACCTAATATACTGTACATACATTTTTTTGTTTACTTTTTTTGAAAAATCACTACTGTAAACGGCCACCGATCGGGACGTGACATATGTCATTAGAACCGCATTGGTGGCAAGAATATAGTTTGAAAGTTTGGTCCCGATCGATGGTCATCTTCGGGTCCAAATGGCCGAAAAACATGTCTCCGTAGAGAGTACATGACAGACATTTTTCGGATGGCCATTTGGACCCGAAGATGAGGTCAAATCATATTGTGATACATATATGACTTGTTGGCCATTAGTTGGCGGTCACAACAATGATGGTCCGGTCCCGATCGGTTGGCCGTGGCCAGAGTTATTCGGGAATGTTGTTTTCGGGAAAAACGCTTATAACACGACCCCCGGTGGTCAGAGTGAGTGGCCAAACGTATTGACACCATCTAGTCAATGAGGCCTAACAAGATATAGTGACAATTTGGTTACCGAAGTTACCGACGGGCCTCCAGTGTTGTTTAAACATGTCATGTTTTTTCAAGTAGTCAAAGTGCACATCTCAACTTGTGCCTTACTAAGAAAAAGTATATATATGGAGAGTAGTAGTGTTGAGTACGAGTCAAAGCACTATATGCGGTGTTCACTGCATAACATTTGAGAGAGTCGTATAATGCTATACGATGACTATACACACTATAGGGTGTCAAACCGATTAATGAGAGATAGTCGGTGACACAGTATCGATAACTCTGTGATTCAAACGGCGTAATGCCGATGAATATCAGATTGTCGTACTTTTTGAGGGGACGGCAAGACATGTTCCTCGCTTTATCAACGGGAGAGAGCCGTGCGGTGTAAGTGAGCCAGCTGTTAGTACGTGGGGGTCGACAATACAGACTGCACGCCTTGATTGATTGCACACTAAGACCGCAACTACGGCAACTCTAATACATGTCAGGATAGGGATGACTGGCGTCGGTTCGGGTACCACTTGAGTTTCCGCCTATAGTCAAACGCGTAAAACCGTGTCACTGACTGGGAACCAGAGTGCCGATAAACATGAGCAATATGAACGAAGGCGACTTTGAATAGCGCCGCGATAGGTTGGCTATAACTAACGGATTGAATAAGTTGATAACCGCTATAGCGGTACTGTTGACGGTCTAGTCGATGACTGACCGGCAGTTTGGGATGTGTGATAACGCCGGGCGAAACTAACGCTAGCGCTATACACAGACGCAATGTTAATGTGAACACTGGCCGCTATATTGAAGGCAGTGTGAGTCGGTGTAGGACACCGACAGCAACAACAACACGGACCGTTCGGTTCTGTGTGTGTTTGGCTGAACAGCTACCTGGTTGATTCTGCCAGTAGTCATATGCTTGTCTCAAAAATTAAGCCATGCATGTCTAAGTACATGCCGTATTAAGGCGAAACCGCGAATGGCTCATTAAATCAGTTACGGTTCCTTAGATATTGACTGTCTACATGGATAACTGTGGTAATTCTAGAGCTAATACATGCCCAAAAACTTCGACCGGAGACGGGAGAAGTGCATTTATTAGACCAAGACCAATGGGGTTCCCTTGTGGGGCTCCTAACGGTGGTGACTCTGGATAACTGTTGCTAATCGTATGGCCTTAGTGCCGGCGATGAATCTTTCAAGTGTCTGCCTTATCAACTGTCGATGGTAGGTTATGCGCCTACCATGGTTGTAACGGGTAACGGGGAATCAGGGTTCGGTTCCGGAGAGCGAGCCTGAGAAACGGCTAGCACATCCAAGGAAGGCAGCAGGCGTGCAAATTACCCAATCCCAGAACGGGGAGGTAGTGACGAAAAATAACAATACGAGACTCTTATGAGGCCTCGTAATTGGAATGAGAACAATGTAAAACTCTTAACGAGGATCTATTGGAGGGCAAGTCTGGTGCCAGCAGCCGCGGTAATTCCAGCTCCAATAGCGTATATTAAAGTTGTTGTGGTTAAAAAGCTCGTAGTTGGATCTCAGTTCCTAGTCAGACGGTCCACTTGCCAGTGGCTACTGTTTGGCTGAACACTTTACCGACCTTGTCCTATGGTGCTCTTCACCGAGTGTCATAGGCGATCGGTACGTTTACTTTGAAAAAATTAGAGTGCTCAAAGCAGGCGTCAGTGCCCGAATAATGTTGCATGGAATAATGGAATAGGACCTCGGTTCTATTTTGTTGGTCTTCGGAGCATGAGGTAATGATCAATAGGGACAGACGGGGACATTCGTATTGCGGAGCTAGAGGTGAAATTCTTGGACCTTCGCAAGACGAACTAAAGCGAAAGCATTTGTCAAGAATGTTTTCATTAATCAAGAACGAAAGTTAGAGGTTCGAAGGCGATCAGATACCGCCCTAGTTCTAACCATAAACGATGCCGACCAGTAATTCGCCTGAGTTCTCTAAATGACTCGGCGAGGGACTTCCGGGAAACCAAAGTCTTTCGGTTCCAGGGGAAGTATGGTTGCAAAGCTGAAACTTAAAGAAATTGACGGAAGGGCACCACCAGGAGTGGAGCCTGCGGCTTAATTTGACTCAACACGGGAAAACTCACCCGGCCCGGACACTGGAAGGATTGACAGATTGAGAGCTCTTTCTTGATTCAGTGGGTGGTGGTGCATGGCCGTTCTTAGTTGGTGGAGTGATTTGTCTGGTTAATTCCGATAACGAACGAGACTCTAGCCTACTAAATAGATTGCCGACTTATAACGTCGACAACACTTCTTAGAGGGACAGGCGGTGTTTCAACCGCACGAAACAGAGCAATAACAGGTCTGTGATGCCCTTAGATGTCCGGGGCCGCACGCGCGCTACACTGAAGTGATCAGCGTGCATTCAAAAACCTACTCTGTCAAGAGTGGGGAACCCAATGAACCTTCTTCGTGATTGGGATAGGGGATTGTAATTATTCCCCTTGAACGAGGAATTCCCAGTAAGCGCGAGTCATTAGCTCGCGTTGATTACGTCCCTGCCCTTTGTACACACCGCCCGTCGCTACTACCGATTGAATGTTTTAGTGAGGTCTTCGGACTGGCCGGTGCAGCTGCTCTTGTAGTGGCAGCGCTGTGCTCGGAAAGATGCCCAAACTTGAACATTTAGAGGAAGTAAAAGTCGTAACAAGGTTTCCGTAGGTGAACCTGCGGAAGGATCATTACCGTATGTTGTAGAGTTTAACTCATACACAAACGGCAATTTGTTGAACGCAAAAGTCGCTCAATCGATAGATAAGCGGCAAACATATCCCAAACGGTACATAACCGTTCATAGGTGATCACAAGGTACACAACAACAACAACAACAGTGTAACTGTTAGGTGTTGTGTATGAGAGCGACCGATCACCACTGAATATGAACACTTTAGTACCGGTGTTTGTCTGCAAAAAACACAAGACAAGTCATGAGGTGTCTAATCTGAGCAATGCCTACACACCGTCAAAGTGTGAGCACTTTGTCGCTATCGGCGTCAAAGTCGGGCTACAGAGTGATAGTCATAGGGTGCGCCCAAAGACTGTCGCTAGGCTTAATTATTGTGAGCGGTCTATGATCGTAAGCAATGCCGTAAAGACTTGACTTGTGTGTGCGCTTTAAGTTGAAAAACTTGTGCCTTTGATAACAATTGATAAAAACACAATGTGCAGTACAACTGCAAACGGTGGATCACTCGGTTCGCTGGTCGATGAAGAACGCAGCTAGCTGCGATAAGCGGTGTGAAATGCAGGACACGCCGAGCACTTGATTTTCGAACGCATATTGCAGCCTCGGGTCTTTCCCGGGGCTTCGTTTGTCTGAGGGTCGTTAACATAATAAAAACATAGTAAAAGTCTG